CTGCTGAAATGGCTTGACTCACTGTAGAAACAATGAATGGGGTACCACAGATGTTGTTCTAGAACAGACATTTTGTAGTTTTCTGTTCCACAGCAATTTCTTTTAACCTGTGTGTTCTACCGCAGTACGTATAGCGAGGCTTGAAAAGTGGACTGAAAATAACAGGAGGAGGTAAACTTTCAACATAGCACATAGGAATCACTTTATCATACAAAAAAACCAAATCCTGCTTACATGACCTATGAAGTATTTGTGTTGTGTTAAACTAAGAAAAGTTCATAAGGAAATGCTAATGTAATAGAGGCTGATGAACAGTGTTCTATGATGTGTAGAACTCATCATTTAGCATTTGCTCCTTTAATGTTGTCTGTACCTGACGCAGGCTGAGTAAAAGTATTGATTCGCAAACACTAAAATAAATAAATAAATATGCTACTGCCATTACTAATCCAGCTATAAGATACTGACTTAATAGCACAAGTTCCACCTTGCACAAATGGCTTTATGGAGTTATCCATTTTCTTTTTTTAGATGTCTATTTGAGTATTTCAAAGCACTCTTGGAAACTTTTTTAAGAGTTTTGTCTGTGAAAAAACTCCTGAGGCTTACTATAGCCTTTATTTAAAAAAAATCAGCTGGCCTTGTTAACTTTGTTTTTTTGAGAGCTTAAAGGTCTTCAATGCACCCAACCAGCCCCCCTTGCCAAGATCAACAATACACTATAATTATGGCACGAAAAGGAAGAAATGAAAAGGCAAACCTGAGCCTCTTTTTTTTAACCTTAGTGGGGATCTAATACAGAGAAAATTTGTCACCCGCTGAAGTTCCTCTTTTTTTTTTTTTTTTTGGCATAATATTAAAATGAGAAATAAGTTTGTGCCATGTCTAAACATAAATCTTTCAATATAATGTAACTAGTTCTCTTTAAATTACAGTAATGCTTTCTTTGTGCTCACAAAATTAAATATAGACTTAATAGAAGTTATTACATCGGCAAGAGGTAATATTCATGGTAGACGTCTTAAGATAGATGAACTGTTTAGCAAGGAAGAGTGTGAACCACACAGCCTAGCTCCTTTTACTGTGAGGCATGAATTCTGAGTAATACTCT